GTGCAAGGTCCTGCACATGGGTTGGGGCAAGTCCCGGTATCAATACAAGCTAGGGGATGAAGGGATTGAGAGCAGCCCTGCTGAGAAGGACTTGGGGGTACTAGTGGACGTAAAGCTGGACATGAGCCGGCAATGTGCGCTCGCAGCCCAGAAGGCTGTATCCTAGGCTGCATCAAAAGAAGCGTGGCGAGCAGGTGGAGGGAGGTGATTCTGCCTCTCTACTCCACTCTCACGAGACCCCACCTGGAGTGCTGTGTCCAGCTCTGGGGCCCCCAGCACAAGAAAGACATGGACCTGTTGGAGCGAGTCCAAAGGAGAGCCACAAAAATGATCAGAGGGATGGAACACCTCTCCTATGAGGACAGGCTGAGAGAGTTGGGGTTGTTCAGCCTAGAGATAAGAAGAATATAGGTCAGGCTGGATGGGGCTCTAGGCAACCTGATCCAGCTAAAGATGTCCCTGCTCACTGCAGGGGGGTTGGACTAGATGACCTTTAAAGGTCCCTTCCAACCCAAACTGTTCTATGATCTTATGAAATTACTCAAATTACAAATTGCTGTCTGACAGGCTGTCACAGCTTCTGAGGCAGAGACTGTCACTCTACAAGGCGCTGAAAATCTGTCTGTTTAATTACCTCAGTTTCCCTGTTTGTAAAGGGAGGATAAGATCTTCTTCCATATCTCAACTCATTAAGATTTGTTAATTGTTCTGAGATTATGGGATAGTTGGAACTATTTATAGGAATGCAAAATGCCATTTCTATTAGGTGCAAGTTGCCATGTAGTTAAAATATACTGAGCATCACAATATGTAGCAAATGGGACACCTTGTTTTACATCAGCCAAGAAATGCTAAGTGCTTCCTAGTTGCTTATTTTATACTTTTTGCCCTGAAAATCTCATTAAGGAAATGTACTGGGCCAGACCGTGATGTTTAGTAAGAGTCATAATCCTTCTCGAAGTTCCCAGCCCACAGGGAAAAGGATGTCCATGTGGGCAAATCAAACTCCTCTCCCCACAGCTCTACAAAATGTAGAGCTTTACAATTTGCTGTTGAAAGAGAACCACAGTTACGGCCCTTCTGCACTTCTTAAAGCAGATTTCCATTCTGTGGGTATACATGAAGAACAGAATCTGCTCTCAGCCCTTCCAGAGAAGGGAAACAGAAGATCCTTTGAATCTCAGCTTCCCTCAGCTGCCTTCTACAGCATGACCAGGGAGAACTTTTATTGGCTCATTCTACTACAAATGAATTTATTTTGATTCCTTCCAAAGGGCTGCATAGAGTATGTCCTCATTTCTGTCTGGGAGAGCTTTGTGAGAGGCCGTTTGGACAAGACCACCACAATAATTCATGCCATTTGCAGACAATTTGTAAACCCTTATGGTGTCCCAGAATGATTCATTATTTTTCTAAGAATATGAAGCGGTGTGTGCATTTGTGAATATGCATGCTCATCAAGAGTGAAGACAGGCAGCTCCCCTAGGCCCAGAGGCAGGGATAAAGATCAGCACATATTTCTTCTTTGTTATGTAGAGGTTTTTGTGATACTTCAGTTGTTTCACCCCTCCACATGTTAGGTTTTAGGTGAACCCAAAGCAGAAGGTAGCAGTCTTATTTGTTTCCAGGTCTCCTACAACAGACTCTGGAAGACGCACTCATGTCCCAAAGGTATAATCCCATGTATATTACTTATTCTAACAATGATCATTGGCCACGGCTTCAGCCACCCTGGAGAAGAGTAATTAAAGCCATCCCTCGTCCTAGATTACAAGGCCTAAACTTAATCTCATTAAGTTTTCAATAAGATCAGTTTTATAACAGATTTCAAACCAAACAGCACCTTGCTGGTAGTTTCTGGATGAACATTCATTAACCCAAGCAAGTTCAGAACAAGGAATCTACAAATCCTAGGATTTGGAATGATTTCCTAAAAGCTATTGCAAATATTCTCCATAAACACCCATCCAGTACAAACTAATCCCAAAGGGAAGGCTTACGGGAGCAAAAATCAAAACAATTGCTGGAACAAGTGTTCAGGATCTACTCGGGACTGTAGTCTAAGCCCTCTTTTGCAGCAGGATACAATAAATAAATCCATGTATGCTTTCACTAGCTATACTAAGTTTGGAACCTTTTCGTATTGAGCACCTACACCAGAACCTCTCCCCTTCTCACATTATTCAGGCTATCGCTGCAGGTGCTAAAAGTTACTTGCTCCTTGCTGTTACACGTAGAGTTGGGTGAGAAATGTTACTTACTTCCCAGTCAAACAATTAGAATACCGTACCAACGTGTATCGTGGTGCATGAGAAAAAGAACAGCAATCAAATCCTTTTGATGCTTTTCATCACTAAAATGATTTTCTGGTAACAGTGATGTTGACTGGGCATTCCTTAGGAGCAACTGACTGTCAGGGGGACTTGAGCCTGTTGGTTATAACAAGTTTCAAAAGGAAGTATCCATCTTTCACTAAGTAAGACATTTTCTTCTCCTTGCCTGCCCCATGATCATCCCCTTTGCTATTTATTATACTTGCATACCCAATGGTACCTCCCTCAAAAGGTTTTGTTAGTCTGATTTGTTGGGCTAAGAAAATGTCATCTGAAAGAATAAATCTGGGGAGGCTGCAAGTACAAACATTCACACAGAAGATTTTAAAAAATTATCCTGTTCTGTGCTTGTGGAAACCAGCCTCCCCACAAGTTTAAGAGTCAAAATCCCACATGAAGGGAAGAGAAAGTCATGTGAGAGGCTGAAGAAATCCAAAGCAAATATGAATATTAGCTCTGTTGTACAGTCCTGTAAAACAAGCTGGGTAAAATTACTCTTTGGGTTTGGTTTATCAACATTTCTTGCCATACCACAGTGACCCTTTTGACTTTAATTCCACCACTATGCGTCAGCTTCTGTTGTCTCTCCAGCTTATTGTTAGCATCAGTATTAAGCTGTTCTAGCAGGAGATGTGATTAGCTTGTGTGGTTTTAACCCATGCTTCCACAGTGAAAAAAACCTGAGATACATAATACAAATAACCATAAACCTGTACAGTCCAAACAAGCTTTAGGACAGCTATGCAAAAACAGTATTGCAAGCTTTTTGTCTTATGGGATGGGAATGAGGCTGACTTCTTTAAAACACCTAATTTATCATACCTTGCTGGCTTTCAGTATCTCAAACATCAGAGGCAACCCTTGTGTGATGAGCTCCTCTGTGTACTCTTCTTCCTGAATGGACTTGAATTCCTTTAGCAAGCACTGGATGAGGGGTCGCCTGTGCTGCTGGAAGGACGTGCGCAAGGACTCCAGCCACGTGTGCAGCGTCCAGGGAACACCTACAGATGGAGGACAGAGTTAATTCTCAGCTTCAGAGAAGGATGTGCCCTTCTGCTTTTTTACCTTTATTTATGTTAAGATTTTAAGCAAAAGCTGACAAATAACCCTAGAAATCAAATTCCTATTTATCCCCAGTTGAGAAGGCTGGTAGTTATCAGGACATCCCAGACGTAATGCACAGAGGCTTTCCTCCAAATGCTAAGAGAAGACTGTGGTCTCTCTGCTCATCTAGCTTTCAGCTTCTCTGCTGAGACTGCCAATTTGTGGTAATTGCTGTGGTGCTCTGTGATGCAAAAGCCTTTTGGAAACTAGATTTACTCTAGCTCATTTGTTTGAATGCAACCCTGGAGAGCCATTAAATGGTAAAAACCACGATTTTGGTCACTACCCACCTGGATTCAAAGTGGTGGTCTTCAGATTAAAACTTTCTTTAAGCACTACCCCACGTCCTCTCCTGATCATTACTATTTTCCCTAAACAGCACTGGTCGAGTTAAGCAGATCAGCCTTTTCAAGCAGTTTGTCGTGGCAGAACCACTCTCCAAGAACTTAAAGGGAACTGCTCCCATGCACTGAGTGAGAAAGCACATGGAGCTAATGTACCTCTGCAGGCATTAGACTGGATGTGACCTAGTTTCTGCTCTTGCGGAACAGTGTGGGAGGAAATGCAAGCCTCGCGTTTGGCTACAAAAGCTTTTTCCTTCCATTTCAGCAAATGTCTAGCACCTGGAAAGCAGCCCTGTCGCTCTCCTCTTGTTCACCGCCAGGTCTTTGCCTGCTCAGCCCATCCAGCGAACCACCACTCAGACCACTGCACATCCTGACCCATGCCACATGTCCCCAGGGCTGAAGCACAGCACTAGGCAGAGGCATGCTGGGCACTTGGGTCTCTTTCTCTGAACGCAGATCAATGGGGATGATAAATACACAGTCCAGACCAATTCCCCTCTGCACTACCCAACCACTGTCCCCACGGGCAGAAGCAACTTCCCAGAAGGCTGGTATGATGTTCAAGCCCTGCATTGGCAGAGTTGGCACACCAAGAAGCCAGTTCCCTGCTCCTGCCCTCAGAGGCTCACAAACCTTGCAAAATATAAATGTTTTAATGGTGGACTGCTTTATGGGAGAGCGCAAAAGAGGAGCTGCTGGAAGTGGCCCATGGCAGCTGAACAGTGCTCCAGAGCCTTACCTAATGCTCTGCCACGCAGCAGTGAAGATGTCTGCTCGTGGAAACCACTTTGTCCTGCAGAAAAGTGCCAGTGGCCCCTGAACGTGGTGCGCTATGGAGCCGAAATGGGATGAGAACCTGCCAGATCCCCATCACTTTCTGCTTCCACAAGAGCTGAAGAAGATGCAACTACGGTTGGTTTAAGGAACAACCCATCAAGAGAGATGCATTTCTTACAGTGGTCCCTCCTCTGAGGGAGAGGAGAGAGGGTGACGGAACTGACCTATGCTCCGTATGTCAATGGTCACATCCACGTAGCCATGCTCGGCACTGTGGTACATGGCCTCCTTTAGGGCTTTCAGCTTGGCCTTGCTGTTGCGGCTGGCGCAGAGCGGAGCTGCTGCTGAGTCGGGCAAGTCTGTCCCCTCGGCCAGGATCTCCTCCAACGACAGAATATCACTCTTCTCCTTCTCCGGCTGAGCAAGCAGCTTACGAAAGACATTCCTGTCAATCACAGCATGACAGAGAGAGGGAGAGGGAAAGATGAGAGCAGGGTCAGCGGCTTGGCTTTCTTTGTGCCCAAGAAACTTGCTGCGATGTGGCAAGTTAGGACACCCATCCAGGAAATTATTCAAATTAATGGCAGCACTGGCTGAGAGCAGTCCCGAGGCAAGCACTGCTCCTGCTAGGCCACCTGCACTGCCTGGGCCACATCTGCAAGATGCTGCTGTCATGACAGGAACTGTACAGATGTCGTATGAGTGCAGCACTTCAAGGGAACAGAGACCCATGAGCTAAACGTGACTCAATACTTCTTCCCACAATCAGGACAGGCTGTGGTGCCTCTGGACAAGCTCTCAGGACTGTCACCATGGAGGTCACTTGAGAAGGGAGCTGCCTGGAGCTACTGAAAGCACCACCACCCAATTAACACTCAAAGCAGTCTGGGAAAGCTGGAGCAGCTGGACATTCAACAAGGACAGTCAGGGCAGGTTCAAGCACATCTGGGACTGCTCTGCAAAGCCACTGATCTGTTTGGGCCATCAAAAAGCAAAGCCCAAACTCAGAGACTTGATGCCCTCAGGTTCATGCCAGTGTAACGTCATCTGTCTCAACAGAGTCACTCTTGGTTTCACAGGTGTGAGAAGAGAAACCAGCCTGTCTCCCATCCCGCCTCCCTCGTACTTGGACATCCTCCCTGCACCTGTGCAGATCCCAGTGTGGGGTGGCAGTGGGGCATGGCGTATCCCAAACAAATTTGTGACAGAGAGGGAAGGAGGAGGGAGTGTACGTGAGTGCCGTACAGGTAGGAACATAAAAGCCAGGCCCTGCAACATGCACAACCAGCAGCCAAGCCGAGGAGAGTCCCAAGTCCTCCTCGGGCACATGGCTCCCACTCATGCCAGCTGGCAGCAAGGCCAGATCAGTGAGCGTGAGACTCTGATAACCAAACTGTCCTCTTTGTCCCAGGGATCCCTCGCAGGCTCCAGATGGACAGCGTTGTGCGAACCCGCCCTGACATGCCATTAGCATGTTGTTAGACTGGCAGTTTGTTTCTAAGCAAACAGACGGTAGGTACTGTCTCTAACCTGTATCTATGTTCCTCTGGATGGCTACAATCAGAAAAGTAGGAAGTGAAGATCATAATACTAATCCATTACACTGCAGTCAACTCCTGAGCGTTGCAAGATCATGCATGCCAGGTGCTCATTTCATTACTTTTTTTTTAAAAATCTGCAGCATACACACAACATTAAGGCACACGGGACTTCACAGTAAACACAGACACAGAAACTCTGTTCAACAGCAATTAAGACTGCAGCATTACAGACACAATCCACCCCAAACCTGAGAAATATGTCAACAAGAAATTCAGAAGGAATGTCTTTGGCATTCCTTTCTGCTGTCACATCAGCTACCATTTAACAACCATTGCATTGCAACACACCATGAGGAGTCTCCTGCCTCTTTTTTTTTTTAAATCAGCTGTCAAAAAGCAGCTTGTACCACCAACCAGTTAAATTCACATGCTAGCAAAAAGCCTTACATTTCTGCTCAGTTGGTGGCATGTTCAATTGTTCATGCAGAACTTTCACCCATCTGCTCAAACCAGATGCCCAGGCAAAAAATAAGCACTTGAAGGATGCCACTAGACTTGTTCCCACTCTACCTGTGTCCATGTGCAGCAGCCTGACTGAAAGAGTTCATGTCACCTTGTGGAGTCATGGAAATGCCGTTCCTGTACATTGTTCCTATCATGGGGTCAGCTCCTCGCTCCAACAGCAGACTGACCAATTCAAAATTTCCTGCAAGTCAAGAGATGCATTTTTACTTCTTTTAAAATCCAGTATTTGCTCACCTAAACCACATATCCTGAGTAAAGAATTTATTACAGTGGGAGGAGAAAGTCCTTACCAGCAGCTGCTGCCAACTGTAAAGGAGTTTCTGAGTAATTTTCCTCTCCATGCTCCAAGGAACCTTCTACCTTTGCTCCAGCATCCAGCAACAGCTAGAAAGAAAATTGACCACTTAGAGCAACTGGGGGTATCACAGTCTTCAGAGTTCATGAACAGTGACAAATGAGAGTCTAATGCTTGTTGTTATCTGCAAACCAGATATGATGGAGACAAGTGACATGCAGATTCTGCCCATTGTTTCACAGAGGCAAATTGATTCCTTTTTTCGCTCATTTTATGCTGCCAGACACCAGGAGCACTAGTGTCCAACTTCAGAGCCAAAAAAGGGTAACCCAGTGTTTCTGAATGGGAAATGGGATAAGGTCAGCGTCAGGAAGTAATGCGCTGAAGATGGAAGTACTGAAAATTAGCCCGACAAGCATCCTTCCTTCAAGGTCTTCTAGAAGCCCAGCACCGTCCTAAAATGGATCAGATTGCAATTGCCTCCATCTTTATATTAAAGACACGGCCAAAAGAAAGGCAATTCTTAAGACCAATTGCAGCAATGAGTCCAAAAGCTGTGATCTCCATCAGGGACACTTCCACGTAAATAACAACGCTGAAAACAAAAGTGGCCAAGGAGAAAAAAGTGGCCAAGGAGAGCAGGGTGGAGCCTGTGCTCCAGCCCCCTCTTGGCCATTTCTGTCTTAAGGCCTTCACAGTTTTGGTGCTTCATTCAGTGTGCCATAGACACATCTGTTTTGAAGAATAAACCTTCTCAACTTCTGAGATGCCGAAGCACAGAACCAGCATATCCCACGCAACACCTCGATGGGGTAAGGAGAGCAAGTGCTTCTCCCCCTTTGGTGCAGCACAAGGGCTGTTGCCCACCTCTCTCCCACCAAGGCAGTGGTTTTGTGTTTGCTAGAATATTCTAGTATAAGAAAGTGTAATGAATGAATAAACAAACATATAAAACAAGTGGTCAGGAAGGAGCACAAGGAGTTGTCAGACTTTCTTTGGTGCAACTTTGCTCTAAAATCATCCTATTTAAACCTCATATTGGTTAAGGTTTGAACACCGTATTTGCTATATAATAGGTCTATTATATATCAGTACACTCTAGAAGAAGCAGAAGTAACCAATATGAGTATGATGAGAGGATACTGGTTTGAGACGGATGTAATTAGAACTGAAGAGGAGAAACAAAAGAATGAGATGCAGGTAGGGAAATACAATAATACCTGAACTACAGGAATATGTCCATGCAACACAGCAAATGTCAGAGCTGTCCAATGGCGGGTCTCAGGGTGGACGGATGGGTATTTATGAGCAGTACTGACAACCTACAAACAAATTAAAGTTATTTTTTTAAAGAGCTATAAGTAATAAAATTCAACCTGCCTTAAAGCCAGGCATGTGAGGGAGTAAGCAAAATAGAAAACCTGGGAAAGGTGCTTTATAAAATGATTGGCTTCATTTTTTTCCTGCAAAAATTTTCTCAATATTAAAACTGTTCATGCTGATTTGACAGCTTGAATAGAATTCATACCAAATGAAGTCTTTTTACCAACTACTGTAGCTCCATCTAAACCACTGGCCACCAGATACTTTTGCACAAGGTCAAAACATCCACAGCTGGTTACAGCAGCACACACTGGGGAAGTAGGGACGGATCAGGACGCTGACAGCTAAGGATTGCTCCCACTGACTTTTCCAGACCGTGTATCAACATCCCCGGGTCTTGGGATTGCTTCAGGCCCAAAGAAATTCTTTCTACATAAATCAGTATGACTTTTGTCACTGCCGTAATGAAAGACACATCACAAGCCCTACCCTAGAATCCACAAATGTGCTTCCAGGTTCCTCCTCTTCCACCGGAGGAAAAAGACAGCTGAGAAGTGAGGGGGCAGAGTGGCACTTCAGAAATGTTTTAAGAAAACTCCTTTTTACTGCCTTCTGTCTGAGTTGAGTTAAAAGAGCAGGGTGATGACAGTTAAAAGAGATGCAAACTACATCCTTAGGAAACAAAACGGTATTTTTCACATTGCTCCTTCCATTTTCTATGTCTTAATGCCTGCTGCCTCTAACGTAGACATTGGGGAAGATGAATAACCACTCTTTGCTTCAGTTTCTCTGTCTCAAAGATGGGGGTATTAATATTGATGAGGTTCACAGAGATGGTAAAATCTAATGAATGTTTGCAATCCAAGACAGCACACTCAGATGGAGTGTGACACTAAAATTCAAAATCTTATTATTGATCTTCAGAGGAGGACTAAAATCAGAGTAAAAGATGGACCATCTCTCTGTCTCATCAGCCAGCTATGCTTTTACTACCTTGTCTGAAGTTCTTTTATCCACGTAGTGGAGCAGGGCCAGTTTTTAAATGCTCAGTTGCATTAGCAGCTTGCATTTCCAAGTGCCACATGCAGCATTTTGCTAGATGCACATGACCGGGCCCTCCGTCCCAAGGACAGGGATGAGGGCAAAATCTGAAGAGCCCATGCAGATCCTGCAGCTTGCCAGAGAAGCAGATCTGCACCAGCACCTGGCTGTTGTTGCCCAGATTTGCCAAAGAGAGAGCTCGAAGTGCAACAGGAGAAGTATTTTGGCCTCTAAGCAAATGCATGGGGCTTCTTTGGGTCTGGGTTTGCTCAGAAGGAAGAGGATCAAGCAGCTCGAGCCTTGGGGTTTAGGCTGGGGAGCAAGAGCAGCAAAGGATGGGGATGGGCAGGATCACGGTTCAGTGAACTTGCCAGCTCCTCCTCAAGCACAGATTCCCGCCACTGTTCAGGGCAGCCCACAGCAAGCAGCAAAGAAAATGAAGTCATTTTAACTCCTTTGCTCCTTTTTTTTTCTTTTTGGTTAGAGTTCTTCCCAGTTGACACAGTGTTTGCAAAAGACCTGTGGTTGAACCAGGCTTTTAAGGACTCAGTTGAGAATTGCAGAGGAGCTACAGGTCCCACTGACTCCAGAGCAAATTGCAGCTTCTCAGCACATCTGGAAATGAGTCCATTTTTGCTAAAGATGGGCAATCAAAAAGGGAGGCACCCAGCATCTGAGCCTACTTTTGGAAACGTGTATATATATAACTGATTTGCAAAGTGAAAGGGGGAAAATGATGCAGGCACCTGACAGAGTCTTTATTTTTGTTCATGGTTGATTTGCCTTTTTTTTGCCGTAATTGCCCAATTTGCACAGTTGGTTGTGGTGTGCACAAATCATCTTATAATTGCACACCATAATTATTCACAGTTCTTGTCCCAAAGTGTTTTCATTTGATTTTAGAGCAAACACTCTACAGAAATGAATTGGGGAGGTTCACATTCCTCATTGGAGCTGTTCTCTCAGATGTCAGCAGTTTCAGGAAGAGAAAATTGTTTAAAACTGTTTAAATTTGCATTTGGTTCAAGTCTGGAAGATTACTGGAGCAACTGAGAGGACTGTTCCTAATGAAAACTTGCCCTAGGAACCAAATAATGCCATCTCACCTCTGAGCCACAGGCAGGATTAAAGGACAGAGCAGTCTCCACACCCCTCCAGTCTTTGGTGTGCCTATCGAGTATTCAATTATTGCCAGCTCTTGACAGTGGTGTGCTTGAATTTGAGGAACTGAAATCATCAGCTGATTTCACACAAGCCACCGAACAGCAATCAGATAGTAACGACTATCAGTCTCTTAAAGGTGACAACCATTTCTACTGTTAAATTAGATTTTCTAAAAGTGCAAAATGTCTGGCTGAAAGCAGTGACTACAATTTATCAGCTTGCTCAAGTCCAAACAGAACAGATGGAACATAGATAAGTGAAGCAGACAGCTTAATTTACTCATGACCTCAACAAATTGAAACTGGGATCATTAACAAATAATACTTTTGCGGATTTTCAAACGGCTCTTTAAAAATGTACATACCTGCATTGCACAGAGTTGGACCACAATCTGTTTGGTGGACAGATTGTGCAAGTTTGTGATATGCATTCATCAAAGAGATTTTTATATTCTGGAAGCTTCAAGATCCTCGTCCAACAGTTTTTAGCCCAAGGCACTTTGTAAAACAAAACAGTGGAACCTACACTGCACTTGTATGCTGGGGATACTTAGCTGGAACATCCCAATGCATAGAAATACTCAAGCTTTGGCAGGTTATCAGAAGGGTGTTTCTTTTACCCTCTCAATTTTAACTCAGATGAGATTCAGGGAGTCCTTCCAATGTCATTAGAGCTGCGTTCCATGCTAGTGCTAATGCCTGTATTCATTTGCAGTGCGCAAACACAACCAAATCAGTTATTACCTGTGGGGTAAGTCCAGTGACGACCCCTTCTGTGCAGCGAATGTTAACCAATGTTAACCTAATGCAGTTTGATTTCACTATTCATTTCAAGTGGTGCCGTCCAGGATAAGACAAATTTATTTTTGTTTTAATTCTTGGGATTTTCCCTCTGCTACAGTTTCAGGGGGTAGTTTGAGATGTAAACAAATAACAGAACAAAGATACAACCAACAAAAAGTCCTCACCTCAGCATTCAGATCTGCTCCAGCATCTAGCAGCATCTGCACCATAGCCTCATCACCCCTGACACAAGCATACATCAGTGGAGTCATGCCCTAGTCATTTTTTGGAGTTAAAAAACAAAGGAATTGACAAATTTAACACAGAACTCTCTTTGACTTTTTAAACAATTATTTAAGTATATATCATCAAGACTAACAGTATGTAGTTAACAAAAGTCATTACCTCTGTTACAGACATGCCCCTCAGACTAGCAAAAGCCAACCATTTCTGTAAAATCTCCGTTTTTGTTGTCACTTGTGTTGACTGTTTCTTTTTTCATGTTATCCTCAGCACGGTGAGTGAAACTAGGCTAGTCAGCCTCGCCTCCATCTTCAGATACTAAACTAGAGCATCTTTGTCTTGGGGGCCCCAGCAGAGAAATATTTTTATCAAAGCAACCGTATTTCCACTGGTATTTTAAAAAGACAATTCTATTCAGTTTTCTATTATCACAATTTCACAAAATCTAAATTTTTAATTACTGAAAGAGCCTTTAAAAACATTCCAAGCTCCTCTTAAGAGAGGTTAGATATGAGTGCAACTTTTTCAACGTGGATACTGTAAGGGGCTGGAAATGTAAAGGCTTTGTATAGCACGCCCTACCAACCAAGGACTTAATTCTAAATGAAATGCCAGACTGTTGCAAGTTGCTGGCTCTAGGAAAACATGGGCCTGTTTGGAGGAAAAGTAGATTAAAGTGACCCTTCCCTACAGAACCACCACAATGCAATTTGTATTAATCTGAAATACCTGCTGTGGCTGATCACCATTTCCCTTAAGATAAGTATTATTGTGGCTGTGGTAATAAGCCCAGATGAAAACATGAAAAAAAAAATAATCATTAAATCTACCATAAATTCTAACAGAAAAGCTGCTTATTAAGTACAGTAGGGGGTGTTGATCAACAGCCACCAGTTGTTTTGCAGTAAATCTACCGCAGCACGCAGCTACCTCCGATGCATGTTTATAGCCTACCTCGAGGTCCCCTGCTAAATTTGCTGTCAGATGATAGCCCATTTGCTGTTTAACGTGAGCACTGCTGCGAAGTGAAGTGATTTTCTGAAAAACTGGAGGTTC